TCTAGTGGAAAATCAGCTAGGTTCAAGAATCAAAGCCTTAAGAACTGACCGAGGCCGAGAATACCTCTCTGATCAGTTCAAGGAGCTCTGTGAAGAAAGGGGCATTGTTAGGCAACTAACAATCCCTGGCACTCCTCAACAGAACGGAGTTGCTGAAAGGAGAAATAGAACTCTCCTCGATATGGTTAGATCAATGATGGCACAAGCTGAGCTTCCAACCTCATATTGGGGAGATGCTCTTTTAACTGCCACATTCATACTTAACCGAGTGCCTTCTAAATCAGTCACAACAACCCCTTATGAATCATGGACAAACCGCAAACCGGATCTAAGCATCCTAAGACCATGGGGGTCAGCGGCCTATATTCGTGATTCTTCCCATAAATATGACAAGCTAGAACCAAGGGGCAAAAAGTGTATCTTCATAAGATACTCTGAGAACTCTAAGGGGTATGTCTTCATTGGTGAAAATGATGACGGCTCAGTGACTGAGATAGAGTCAAGGGACGCAACGTTCATAGAAACCGAATATCCTAGCAGAGGGAGTATTGATCGAACAAGCCGTCTTTATGAGGATGATGGCAATGAGGTACAACAAAGTGTTCCTCAGTCTACTGATCCGAGTGGGAGGGTTGAACCATTTTCACAACAAGGTTTAACCCAGTCACAGGAAGTAAGTCCTGCAACTACCCCACTTAGGAGAAGTAACAGAGACAAAACCCTAAGAGACGCTTCTCAATTGAAGGAGCAACCTTCATCGTTAGTCCAGAGCACGATGAAGAAGACCCCGTAAGTGTTAAAGAAGCACTAACAGGACCTGCTAAGGAAAAATGGCAGAAGGCCTTACAAGAGGAAATGGATTCCATGGAATCCAACCAAGTATGGGAATTAGTTGATCTACCACCTGGCCGAAAGGCAATTGGGAGCAAGTGGGTTCTCAAGTACAAACGTAAGGCTGATGGATCAATTGATAAACCCAAAGCAAGGTTAGTTGCCAAAGGGTATACACAACGGGAAGGAGTGGATTACGCAGACACCTTCTCACCTGTTGTACGTTTCAACTCGATACGACTGATACTGGCTTTAGTAGCAAGTTTAGACTTAGAGTTACATCAGATGGATGTAAAAACCGCCTTCTTAAATGGAGAACTAGATGAGGAAATCTATATGGAACAGCCTGAGGGCTTCATACAGAAAGGGAACGAACAAAAGGTTTGTAAACTATTGAGATCCATTTATGGACTCAAGCAATCATCTAGGCAGTGGTACTTAAGGTTCCACAAAGCTATAAGCTCCTATGACTTTGAAATGATCGAGGAAGATCACTGTGTTTATATCAAGCGGTTTGGAGACAACTTTGTCATTCTATCCCTCTATGTTGATGACATACTACTGGCTGGTACCAATCTTAAACTAATAAAGATGATCAAAGAGTGGTTATCCTTGAACTTCGAGATGAAAGACATGGGCGAAGCAGAATATATCTTAGGCGTTAAGATAAGAAGAGATCGTTCTAGAAAATTGCTGTCATTGTCACAAAAGGCATACATAGCAAAGATTCTTGAGCGTTTCAATATGAGAGACTGCAAGCCTATGGATACCCCTGTGGTTAAGGGACATAACCTAAGTGAGGAAATGCGCCCTACAAAACAATGCGATATAGAACGCATGAAGAGAGTCCCATACTCAAGTGCCGTTGGCAGCCTAATGTACGCCATGTTGTGTACCAGGCCAGACATATGCTTCGCAGTCGGACTTGTGAGTCGATTCCAATCCAATCCAGGAGTCAAACACTGGGAAGCTGTAAAGAGGATTATGAGATATCTAAAAGGAACCATGGACTATGAGCTATGCTATCAAGGAAATGGCCTTCGTGCGGAGGGTTATTCCGATGCTGATTGGGCAGGAGACCTGGACGAGCGACACTCGACGTCAGGCTATGCTTTCCTACTGAATAACGGAGCAATCTCCTGGAGCAGCAAGAAACAAACGTGTGTGTCTCTTTCATCCATGGAAGCAGAATATGTAGCCTGTTCTGCAGCTGTCCAAGAAGCTGTGTGGCTCAAAAGATTCTTAGTACGATTGGGAATCCATGGTGGGAGTGAGGGACCAACTCTGATTCACTGCGATAGTCAAGCAGCAATCGCCTATGCAAAGGACCCTAAGTACCACAATCGTACTAAGCATATAGACATAAAGTATCACTTTGTAAGGGATATGATCGCTAAGAAACAAGTGACAGTTCAATACTTGTCCACTCATAAGATGTTGGCAGATCCCCTAACCAAGCCTATAGCTAGAGATCCTTTCGTTAAGCATGTAAAGGCCTTGGGCATGCGTAGAGCATGATGTATTGAACTCCTTTTTCTTTTTGATCCTTTTTGTTCAAATACGCAGGCACAAGGCATGTTGTACTGAACCTTTTCTCTTACTTAGTAATTCAATGCATTTTATCCAGTTCAAAGAAATTTTTCTTGTATATTTGTGTATTTATACATGCATAGGCACAAGGTATGCAATACAAATATGTCGTACAGGTCACAAGGTTGGCTCACTCACACGAGCAACCGCCTCGCTATGTTCTCATGGGATATAGAAGGTTTGACAGCAGATGATCACCATGAGATGGTAGAGAAGAATCACTGCACAAATGTCACCTCAGCTAGACTGAGATGAGACCCATAAAAAGTTTGGGCCGAATCATGGATAATGTGTCATCCATGAGACCTGTAGCCAGACAAGGAACTCTTTACTAGTGAGACGTCATATATAGTTGTGATGAAAGAGCTCCTGGTTCAAATGTTGGAGTGCATTTGGAACTTAAGTCTGTACGGTGCTATTAAAACCAAAAGCGACATACTCCACTTAGTGGATTGAGCACCGTAACATGCAATTCATACTGCATGAGCTCACTCAAATCCGCAACAAGGGACGTAGATGGAAGATCCCTGATCCATTACGGTGTGAGTCCCAGAAAGGAAATAAACCTTTCATAATGCCCTTAAGACTTAGACAACATCACAAGGTTTTGGTTTAGTGGCAGCTACTCTAGCCTAAACCCCATGGTCAAGAATGATACGATCTAACGGGTCAAGACTGAGAAAGCGGCTATGCCAAATCTAAATGATGAATAGTCAGAAGGAAGGTTTATCCTGAAATACACATCTACGTTGGTGTCTGTGACATGTCCCTTGCAGGTTGAACAGAACAACTAAGCAAGTGTGGATACCATACGTATAAAAAAAGGCAATCTGAGTAAACAAAATAACTCGAGAGGGATTAGATATGCCACAAGTAAAGTGTATGGATAAAACTAGGGCATTCGAGGCAACAAGCATACAATTTGCAGGTACACCAAGGGTGTTCTTGTGTGCTGGTCCTGCATAAAGGATTCCTAGTGCACAGGCGCCCGAATCGATGACGTCATGCCCACGCGGTCACGGCAGACACCTAGTATGAAGCAATGAAAGATTTAGCTATCGCACGATGGACAGCCCATCAAGTGCGAGTGGGAGATGTTAGATTTTTGGGCTTGGATCCGCCCTTGATGGGCCGGATTATTTGACCCGGGTATAAAGAGAATATATCAGTCAAATATCCAAGCGATATCATGATATGTTTGACTTGGTCAAACATCCTGAATCATATCCAATCGGTTACGATATAAATCTAATTAATTTATATTAAATTAATTAATTTATATTGTATAGATTAAATATATATTAAGTATATATATTTAGAATTAATTAGATTGATTCTGGATTTGAATTCAAAATATCATGATATTATGAGATAAGGATATATTATATCTTATCTCAGATTTTATCTGATGGGCTCAGTGGATATTTTTATGCTACCCAAAATATCCCTGACAAAAGCTATAAATAGAGGCTTCCCCCCATCAGTTCAAATCACTCCAGTAGTAGAGCTTTCCTACTATCTCTCTCTCTCTCTTAATTTTCTTTCTTGCAAAAGTGGTGCTCTGCTGTGCACTTAAAAGCTCAGACTTTTATAGTCTAGCTTAAGCGTGAGCTAAGGAGATCCGACCGACCCGACCCGAGATCCGACCCGGTATGTTTTCGATCCATTCTCCAATTTTTCTAACAGGGGGAGGGCCCATTCCAGATTTCCAGTAGCTTGCTGAGATATCACAAGTGTAGAGCAAAGAGAATCATGCTCTCCTTGAAGTCTAATATTTCACAAGTTGAAGTCCTGCCCTTCCGGAGTTTTAAGTTATAAATTCTCAGAATAATCTTGCCATAAAAGCTAGTCCCACACTGAGGAGCGGAAAAGGCAACAAAGCGTAGGGCAAGTATAAAAGATTACCGAATGCACAATACAAAACATGTCTTTCTTGGCCTTTCGGCTAAGATCAAGTGTCGTATGTGTTCTTATTAGTTTAATATCTGACAGGTGGGTCATCGGCCCACATGATATTAAATTTATTTTACTCGGGGGAGCGTCCATCACGGTAGGGATTCTCAAGCGTCGCCCATGCGTTACACTACTGCACTTCCCTGGCGCACCCCACCAAGCCCATTTTGGCCAACAATACCTGTTTGGACTTGTGGGGAGATTCAGGCCCTAAGCTGTGTCTGATATAGGGCCCGCTACAGCACCTCATTGAGCCCAACTATGAAACTCTTTGGTGTAGGCTCAGCGGTCATCCTTAATTTTAGGATGCACATAGTTGGCGCATTAATCCTGTCGATGCTAGAGCTCTGACATCAATGGGGGTTTAGGGTGTTGACGGTTAGGCTGTTGACACAGCTAGCGGGTCTCTGGCGAGGGTTGTTTCCTTTTTTTCATTTTTCAATGGAATATTTTGGTAATTTTGTTTGAATTTCACAATTTTAATTTAAGTTAAGGTAACTCATAGGGATTATGTGCATGGTTATTAGTATTGTGCGATTCGCGATTCGGATCGCACGATACGCTACAGATTGCACACTGGGAGATACGAATCTCCCAGTGTATCTCATTGCCGTCTGAATCGCGCCATGAATCGCGCGATTCACGCCGGAATCGTGCGAATCGCGCGACGCCGGTGGATCGCGCGATTCTGGATGTTGTCGGGTCGCGCGGATCCGACCCGGATCTTTGCGCGACCCGACACGGTAATACCCCCTTTTTTGTTTTTTTTTTTCAATTTTTTTGTTATTTAAAGGAAGAAACTGCCGCAAATTGAATTATAAGCATGTGAAACCCTATTTTTTTATTCCCATATGCTCTGTTCTTCACGTTCTGTATCTTGTGCCCCACGGTTGCATTTTTTCTCCTCTTCTTCTGGTCCTTTTTGGTCGAAAAGTAATAAAAATTGAAGGCTGTTGCTGACTTGCTGGTTGATTGGGGTCCATTCTACTCCTATTTGGTAATTTTTTCCTGCTTCTTTTTTGCTTCTATTGGATATTATATTTGTGAAGGTAGGAAAAATGAGTCAGACTTAGAATAAGAAAAAAAGGAAGCTGATATTACATGGAATCACTGTGAAAGTGTTCCTCCCCATAGACTTATGGTTAAATGCAAATACTGTTCACATCAATGTTGGGGTGGGGTAGCTAGGATGAAACATCATTTGGCTGGAACTAGAGAGAATGTGAGTCCTTGTATAAGTGTTCCTGATGAAGTGAAAAATTTGTTTGTTAAAATGTTAGAAAATAGAGAAAAAAAGTAAAGATGCCAGTAGTGTTGAAATATTTGAAGAGGCAACTGCTCAAGATGCTAAGGGGAAGGAAGGGACATCAAAAACTACCAAACAGAAAACAATGAATGAGATGGTAAAAGATAGAGAGTTAGTAATTCAAGATATTTGTAAATGCATCTATGGTAATGCTTTATCATTTAATTTGGTGAGAAGTCCACTATTCATTCAAATGTTAAAATCTGTTGGTGAATATGGTAGGGGTTTGAAACCTCCAAGTTATCATGAGGTGAGAGTTTCTCACTTGAAAAAAGCAGTTGATAAAATTCAAGAAAGTTTAGCAAAGTATAAGAAGGAATGGGAGAAATGGGGCTGTACCTTGATGTGTGATGGTTGGACTGATGGTAAAGGAAGGTCTCTTACTAATTTTTTAGTTAACAGTCCTAGTGGAACAGTTTTTCTAAAGTCAGTGGATACAAGTAGTGTGATTAAGGATGCTAAACAAATGTTTGAATTACTAGACAATCTGGTTGAGGAAATTGGGGAGGATAATGTGGTGCAAGTTGTGACAGATGGTGCGTCAAATCTCGTGGCAGCAGGGAAGATGTTAGAAGAGAAGAGAACAAAATTATTTTGGTCCCCTTGTGCAGCACACTGTCTTGATTTAATCCTTGAAGACATTGGGCAACTTCCAGTATTTTATAATACCATCACCAATGCAAAGAAAATAACAACCTTCATTTATAGGCATACATGGGTCCTTAACTTGTATAGAAAGTATTCTAAAGGAAAAGAATTAGCTAGACCGGCAGTGACAAGGTTTGCAACAGCTTATCTTACACTAAGTTGTATATTGCGACAAAAAAATGCTCTTCGAACCATGTTTGCTTCAGATGATTGGACTTCTAGTACTTTTGCTAGTAAAAGTGAGGGCAAGCAAGTGGTGGACATGGTTTTTGGGGATTCTAGATTTTGGAGTTCCATCAAATATTGCTTAAAGTGTGTGAGTCCACTTGTAAAAGTTTTAAGACTTGTAGATGGTGACTCTAAACCTGCTATGCCATATATTTATGAAGCAATGGACAGAGCCAAAGAAGAGATTGCTGACAATTTTGAAAAGAAGGAATCAAGGTATAAAAAAATATGGAAGATCATTGATATTCGTTGGACTTTGCAATTACATAGACCCCTCCATGCGGCTGCCTACTTTCTTAATCCTAAGTAAGTTTTATACACTTTAAATTTTAAATATTATTGTTTAATTGTATGTTAGAACTTAGAAAAACATAACTTATTTGTTATTTTCGTAGGTTTCATTATGATGAAAAATTTAATGCGGACCAGGAAGTTTATTTTGGTTTATATGAAACTATTGAGAGAATGATTCCGGATAGAAAGACAAGATTTTTAGTTGATCAACAACTTGAAGCATTTAAGTCTGCTAAGGGGCTTTTTGGAAGGAGCATGGCAATAGATACTAGAAACAAAAAGCAACCTGGTACCATTCTCTAGTCTATAGTCTATTCTATTTAGAAGACTGTAATTTTTAATCTTAATAATAAATATGAATTTTTGAAATCATTTCTCATTATTGTATCTTTTTTTAGCTCTTTGGTGGGAAAGTTATGGAGGAGAGGGCAAGGAGTTGCAAAAGATAGCTATGAGGATTTTGAGTCTCACGTGTAGTGCTACTGGATGTGAAAGAAATTGGAGCACATTTGATCAAGTGCATACTAAGCGAAGAAATCGTTTAGAACAACAAAGGTTAAATGCACTTGTATTTGTCAAGTACAACCTTCAACTTGAGATGAGACAAAAGATTAGAGAGGAAAAAGGAGAGACATATGATCCAATCTGTTTATCAGATATTGAATCTGATGATGAGTGGATCACTGAAAAAGAAAATCCATGCTTGCCAGTGGACGGGTCATGGATGGACATACATGAGAGTTTTACTCTTGAGGAAGGAGCTCCAAGTAAGAAAAGAAAGAGAGGTATAATATTTCCAAGCTAAACTTAAGTTAATTTTTAGTTTAAATATATACCATCATACTTATTAAGTTTTTTTTCCTATAGGTCCAAGAAACTTGAATGCCAAAGCCAATAACAAAGGAAAATCTATAGTAAGACAAGAGAATGAGAATGAAGATGATGCTGAAGATGGGGAAGAGGAGGATGATGAAGAAGTGACATTGTTAATGGAGGATGATCATGAATTGAGTGACATTGATCTTGGAGATGATGAATGAGGAATTGAATTTTATGTTCAGTGATTTTAGTCTTTTTAAGCTAGGATTTTGATTTTGTGAATTGATTTTGAGGACTATTTGTCTTTAGAATTTCATATGGTGGCTTTTATATTTTTTTTGAGAGTCTAAAATAATTAATATTTACAAACTTTTGATATCTTTTTATACAAAAATTACTTATATATCATCCTTAATAGTTATTCATGAATCTTACGATTCACGATACGTTACGATTCAAGATTCAAAAAATCGGCTTTCCGATTCACGATTCGTATCTCGCTTTGATAACCATGATTATGTGATTTTGAAAACACATAAGAATTTCATAATTTCTAGGGTATTTAAATACTATTTTCTGTTTTTTATATGAATGAATTAGTTAAACTGATTTATGTTGTTAACCCGGGGGAGAGTAAGTAAAAATTTGGGTTTGTGCAAAATGTAATGCACAATTTTTCATTTTAACCCTCAATTAATGACATTTCTTTCTTAGCTCTTTTTCCCACTCATTCTCTCTCATATCTTTTTCCACACATTCTATCTCATTCATTATCTTCACGAATTTGGGTATTTTGAAAAAAACTAGGAAAAATAACCCAAAAATACCACTTGAATTTTAAAATACCAAAAAGTGATGCTAATATGTGACATGACAAATTGGTGATTGACTATCAAATTGACATTTTCAATATTTCGGGTAAAAGACAAAAGTATCCCTTAGAATTTGTTCTTTTTTTTTTTTAATGCCACCTAAGAACCTAGCCAGAGGCTAACCACTAGAGCTTCGGCTGCATGTTGCTGAAGTTTCAGTAACTACTCTTGTAAGGTTGTTGAATTTTTTTTTGTTAAACTATTGATCACTTTTATTTTTAGAGTTTCGATGACTACCCTTATTTAGGTATTGATTGTCTTTATTAAACTATTGACTATTTTTAGTTTTGGAGTTTTGATGACTACTCTTGTTTTTCAAAAATAGTAAATAATCACTACATCTCCAATGGCTTACTTTGAATTTTTGAAAGAAATGTAGTCAATATCAAAACTAAAATAGTCAATAGCTTTACAAGAATAATTAATAAAACTCTATAAACAAAATTAGTCAGTAGTGACAAGACTAGTCAATACCTTTACAGTAGTAGTCCATGAAACTATAGAATAAAAATAATCAATAGCTTAACAAAAATAGTTAATATCTTTATAAAAATAATCGCCAAAACTCCTGTCGACGACCTCCAACCAAGTGCTTAGGTGGCATTTAAGAAAAAGAAAAAGGAAAAAAATTCTAAGGGATAGTTTTGTCTTTTGCCCAAATATTGAAATGCCAATTTGATACTTTACCACCAATTTGTCATTTCACACATTAAAATAATCTTTTAGGCATTTTGAACTTCAACCGGTATTTCATGGAGATTTTTCCCAAAAAAAAAAACATTTATCTCTTATTCATTTATTACTTTTAACTAATTTTAATTACTATTTTAGTCATTGCTTATATTTTAGGAAAAATTACACACAGGTTCAAAGTAATACAATTCTTAAAATCTCAAGATGAATAGGTCCTAGGGATCTTTTTTTTTTTGGCTAAAGCATATGTATCTTTCTATTGGAGATAATTCTATTCGAAAGACTGTTGAGCAATAAATATGGGTACCTTTCCCTGTAGGGATTCGAACCTTGGCTCATCATATTGTAAGAAACTAGCTCCTTACTTTAGACCCAACCCCCGTTGGTGAGGTTTCATGGGATTTAAAAGTAATATATTTTGAATAAAAAACTATGTCATTGTCTCAATCTCGATTGATGAGCTCATGAAGTCAATGGAAAGCTATTAACAAGTTAAGGGTTGTTAATTGACAACTAAATTAATAGGATAATATAATATTCACATGAGATTAAATTATTACAAAAGAGTATTATATAACAATCTTTAAGCTGAAATCATGTGTGATCAAAGCATACATTCTAATATTACATGAAATGATAGATTTATATCATAATTTTATTGTAGACAATCATTAACAAACTTATGGGTGCGGATTAACAAGTTAATAGGAAGTTGTTCACAAGTTAGAAAGTGTTAGTTGAAAACTAAATTTATGAAATGATATAACCTCTACATAAATTATAACAAAAAAGTATAAGAATTTCTCTTAATTTTATCTTATGTAAATGTTATATTACCCCATAAATTTAGTTGTCAATCGACACTTCTTGGCTTGTTAATATGTTCCCATTGACTTGTTAATATATATCCATGAGTTTGTAAATTGCTGTTCATAACAAAATTATGATATAAATCCATCATTTCATTTAATATTAATGTACATGCTTTGGTACTACATGATTTCAACTTAAAGATTATTATATAATACTCTTTTATTATAATTTGATCTTATGTCTCATAAATTTAGTTGTCAATTAACACTCCCTGACTTATTAATAGCTTCCCATTAACTTGTTAATTCACGTCTATGAGCTTGTCAATCAGAATAGGGATAATGATGTACTTTCTTATTTAGATTTTATTACTCTCAGGTCCCATAGGACCTCCTATTCATTTTGAAAATTTCAGGGACCTTAAATTAATAAATTGTGTTGTTTGGGATATGTGTAATGTTCTCTATATTTTAGGTAATATTTTAATATATGCAATTTGGTTAGTTAGTTATTAAGTGAAATCTTTAAAAAGACACTTAAATAACCTGATTCCTTATTTAGATCATTGAATTTGTTAAAACTTTAATTAGATCACATGACTCAAAAAGGAATTTTAAAATTTTATGAAACGACTCTAATACCCTTCATTTGAAACCTAGAAAGGTAAAGATTTGTTATCACTCTTATGTTGTGTAAAAGCTCTTAACAAGAGAACAAGAGAAACTTGGTGTCTACTAATGTAAAGTTGAAAAATCAATCAAGGAGGCAATGGTGAGTAAATTTTTTATATTAAATATTCCTTCCTTAATCCTGTAAGTATGTTATGAAGATAAGAAGTTGTTAATTTGAAACATGTTAACTCTAAAATGGAATATATTGATTTTTAAGGTTGTATTGTGATTAAGTTTTATCCAAAGATTTATTGCAAATGTTATGGGGATGGAAAATTATGAATTTAAAATTAAAACATGTTAACTGTGAAACGGAACATGCTAATTTTTAAGATTACATTTTGTTCAAAATTTATTTAAAGACTTATTGCAAATGTGTTTTGGGAATATAAAACTGTTAATTTAGAATTAAAACTTGTTAATTACAAAATTGAACTTATTTATTTTTGAGATTGTATGGTAATTAAGTTTTCTTCAAAGACTTACTACAAATGAGTTATAGAGATAGAAAATTATTTAGAATTGAAATGTGTTAACTACGAAATGGAACATATTAATTTAGAATTCTCTTTTAGTTTCTAATGAAATGGTATTAGAGTTATTTTATAAAATTTTAAAATATCTTTTTGGATCATGTGACCTGATTCGGACTTTAACAAATTTAATGACTTAAATAAAAATTTAAGTCATCTAAGTTTTTTTAAAGAACTTTTCCCTGTTTATTACCCATATATAGGTGATAGGAAGGAGTTTATAATATATGACTCAATTTAATTGCTTTATCTTATATAAGTGTAGATTTAGTGGCACCAATATGGGATCATTTCGTTGGACATCATCAAGTTGGATGGGGTTGAGTAGCTTGTTCAATCTTGAAATTATCATGTCAAATTTGAATCTATAAAACTTTGATCCCCTACGTTCTTTTTTTTTTTTTGTATGCATGGTCAAAATATATGTTAGTAAATTAATGATAGTATATTATATGTGTGTGTGTAATAGGAGAACTTTATTTTTTTTGCCTGGAAAATACGTGAACATATAATTAATGGAAAAAATCCCAAAAAAATACCTCTAAATTTTTTAAATCTCAAATGAAGAATGACTACAAAATGTGTTGTGATTTATTTTTCAAATGTTGTTAATTGTTATTAAAGTGTAGTAAATAAAACTGAAATGAAATTTTAAATTTAAAAAAAAATTGGGAGATTCTCTCTAATTAGTATATATTATGTCATGTATTTGATCGAGATCCAAAATTATGAAATTGTTGATAGTAATATGAAAAGTATTAGATAAAATTATTTTAAGTTGTCAATTTCATCTAACTTATGATAAAAAGTTTGAAATTATTTTATTTAAATAATGTAACATAAACAATATTTTTCTATATATATTTACGATAAAAATTGCCCTCACCGCCTGCAAAAGACCC